AGTAGGGAAAAAATAAAATTAGAATGTAAAAAATTTGACGTTCATAAGGGGCTAAAATGTCCTACATAAATAAATTATTTTTGAATTTGAATTATTGTAAAGTTTCAGAAATGATATGTCGATGCAGCAGTACATTATTTTTATTCCTTTTTTGAAATTACACTCCACATAAATGCTGCTGCACCGACCACTGGAATGTACCTGTCTGCTGCACGGCAATATCACTCCCCTCCGATCGATCCCCCGTCCACCCCTCCGATCGATCCCTCGTCGAATTCAACGGGAATCGATGTTACGACGGTTCGAACCCCTAGTGGTCAGACTAAAGTCGTATCCGTCAGGCAGGAGTTGGCCTTCAGCCGCTCCATAAGTCCTTACGCGGGTTTGGAGTACCATCTGCTGCCATCACCATCATCCAATGTGAGAAATTGTTTCAAACCGAATTTTAATTTCATAAAACCTCAGTAGTACTTTATATGTGTATATCTATTGTATGTATTAATATATTTTATATTTATTATTATTTATTATATATATAGTTTTGTAATATAACCTCATTATACTAAGTGTTGAATGATATTGTTAAATTATTTAATTAAAGTCAGCCGAGCACCTAACATATCAATTCTGTCTAATGATATCCTCTGAACCACACGATACAGACTTGCATGTCTTGTGTTGGTTCGCCGTAATGTGTATTAAGAAAGAAAGAAAGAAAAATATTTTATTCAGTGCAATGTAAAAGTGTTCTATTGGCAAATAAAGTTATATTATATATTATAATAATTATCTGCACTCGCCCTCTAACGTCTGGTGAAGCTGTAAAGGCCAGCTGCGGCCAACAGCATTAGCGTAGTCCGAAAAAAAAAGCAATGTCACTGCATGAATCGACAACATATTCATTTTTAATTAATCAATTTGTTAATTCCTGATATTCTTTCACGTTATTAATTGGTAATAATTTTTATTTCAATTAATTTGTAATAACCTCTGATCACTTAACAGCTATGAAAAGTTCCGAATGATGTAGATAGAAAGAAAGAAAGAAAAACATTTATTGACAGCTATTATTACATTTACACATTTGATAAATGTAAATTTTACACATATATATATAAAGAAAGTGTTTATATAGAGAAAGAGAGTTTCAGAGTTCAAAGAGGTGTTTATATGTATATATATATATATACATACATACCGTATGTATATTTTAATGTATATTTTTTTTTAAATAATTACTGTATAATAATAATTCATGTGACCATTCAAAATATGTGGCCGAGTCGTTACAACAGAAGTCCCGTGTAAAAGTTAGTATGTGATAATTGCCGTTATAGTGTATGTATGGTATTACCACACCATACCACGCCTATCTATAACCGATAGTGGTATTGACAGTTTACATAGTACACAGTGAATATTTTATCGTTAACAGATTACAAGTAAATTCAGTTACAATAACAAAACGTTACGGAATAGTTTACCACTTGTAAACTATATTATAATTAATTACAATTTATACATTACATATACATACATACATGTAATATATGTAATGATAAAGTGTTTCAGTGTCCGACAATTTATTCTGCAATGGCTTTATCAAAAGTCGGACACATTAGCGCCAGATGTGACCGGGCGCCCGGCCTTAAACTTTTTCGGCACCGACGTATAGTAATGAAATGGATCGCTCTCTCATTTGTTATGTGCGATTTTTTTTTGTTATAACAAACGAGCATATATAGGATTGGAATTGGACGGTGGTAGTTGTTTTGCTATCGGTAAAAACCAATCGGATGCCTTTTAGGTGGCTAGTTCTCTATCCAAAATTCTTCTTTTTGAAGTCGATATACAAAAAGAAGAATTTTCACTTTAATATACAAATGTATATTTGTTGATTGTGTTAAAGCTGCTTTCTGTTTGCTTTGGGAGAAGTGGAAATTTTGTACTTAAATTTAAATGAAACGACGTTGTGTCTTCGCGGTTGTATTTTGGCGACTGATTGTAATGTACACAAACGGTGGCCGGCCGGCAGAAACACACATAACTATAACTGCGGTCCGGTATAGACCAACCAATATTAAAATATTATTATTATTATTAAATATTCATAATATTAATACTAGATTTAAAGAAAAACTTGCTGTCCCCAAGTATCGTTTAGAAAAAGTTAATAGGTCTTTTATGGGAATAGGTATAAAAATTTACAATAAGATACCAAATGATATGTTGGAATTACCCTTAAATAAATTCAAAACATCTGTTAAATCATATTTACTGAGCAAAGGCTATTACTCACTAAACGATTACTTGAATGACGAGTGTGCATGGCAATAGTTGTTCATGCACTGAATTTTCATTTAATGTTAGACATAGACACCTATATAAATATACATTGTAAATAAACTGGCTTTAAAAAAAAAAAGTAATTCAATTGAGTTTCTTGCCAGTTCTTCTCAATTGGATCTATATACCGAACTGGACGGTAGGGAAAAATAAAATTATAATGTAAAATTTTGACGTCCATAAGCGGCTAAAATGTCCTACATGAATAAATGATTTTTGAATTTTGAATTTTTGAATTTTATATAATTTGACGACCTCGGTGGTCTAGCGGTCTAGCACACCGCTTTACGACCGATGGTCGCGGGTTCGATTCCTCGCACGGCACAAACATTTGTATTCACGAGTATGATTGTTTGTATCGGTCTGGGTGTTTTCTATGTATAGTATATATGTATTTACAAAAAAAAAACTATGTATCATCAGTTATCTAGTAGCCATAACACAAGCTTTAGGTAGCTTAACTTGGTTCTAGATGGCGCTGTGTGAATTGTATGTAAGTCCGTTTGGTCCTACAAGGATATAAATAAATAATGTTTGAGAATAAGGAGAATGAATATACAAAAAGTCTAGTCTAAAAATAATTCTTACACTAAATGTATGTAATGTAAACATACTGCCCGTACTCAACTGACGATGATTAAAATCATTTCATTATTAACTGGCTGTACCCGCGACTTCGTCTGCGGCGAATAACTTCATTTTTCTAAGATAAACGTAGCCTAAGTTACTCCTTATTACATCCGCTACCTGCCAAAAAAGTCCCGTCAAAATCGGTCGAGCCATTTAAGAGATTAGCCGAAACAAACAGACATACAAACAAAAATAGTAAAAAATATTATTTTGGTGTATGTGTATTACACATTATATTCATATGCATGTAGTAAAAACAGTTATTTCAATATTACAAACAGACACTCCAATTTTATTTATTGTATTTGCTTCTTCTTTTCTATATACTTACTCTGTTTTTATTTTGTAATTTTGTTGATATGAATAAACCAATTATCTATTTACGACATCGGTGGTCTAGCGGTCTAGCACACCGCTTCACGTCCGACGGTCGCAGGTTCGATTCCACGCCACAAACATTTGTGTTCATGAGTATGATTGTTTGTATCGGTCTGGTTGTTTTCTATGTATAATTTGTATATATTTACGAAAAAATAAATTATTTATATATTTATATCAGTTGTCTAGTACCTATAACACAAGCTTTAGCTAGCTTAACTTGGGTCCAGATGACGCTGTGTGAATTGTTAAAAAAAATAGTCTGAAGATACCCAATTCTCTTTGTGGGACAAAATAAAGCACATCATACATTATTATAACTCATACATGCCAGTTTCCGGAGCGCTGACAGACGTGATAAGTGATTGATAACATTATCAGCCACGTATCACCTTATCAATTGGATGTCGATGTAGATGACTATTCTCTGTACGTACTCATAAAATCATCTTGTTTTTATATTTTATAAAGGTACCTTCACACCATGATTATACATGTATTTTTTTTAAATAAATATATGTAATATATTATAAGTAATTATAAGTAAATTTCTGTAGTAATTATATAGTTGTTTGTTCTCCTTATTGTTGTTTCATTAAATGGTAAAAAAATCATTAAAAAGGCTGACATTGAAAAATTCATTAAAAAACTGATCATTAAATCAGTTCTTTTAATAAAATGTTATCTATACATATAAATAAAACTGGAGTGTCTGTTTGTAATATTGAAGTAACCGTTTTTTACTACATGTATATGAATATAAATACGGCACATACACCAAAATAACATTTTTTACAATTTTTATATTGACAATTAATTACTAACTTTGTGTAGAGGACATTTAGTAGTTGTAAAATTTGCTTATTTTCATTGCGTAAGTTTCTACTTGTACAATCATTAAGCTTTTTTAAACTACCTAAATATATATATTTTTATATATATATTTAGGTATAAATATCTACATAATATATAAGTACCCGTACAAACAATCATACTCATGATTACATATGTTTGCACTTTGAGAGAATCGAACCTGCAATTACCGGAAAGTAAGGCGATAAACCGCTAGACTGACGAGGCTGACAACATAAACAACAAATATGATATATATAACATACACATCACTATGTACGAGTATGTTGTAATTAAACATAAAATTATTACCATGAAAGCACAATTTACAACATACACATCTCTATGTATGTTCTAAAAAAACATACACTTATGTCTGTATAGAAAATACATTCATAATATATTCTCTATATAAAATTCTCGTGTCACAGTTTTCGTTCCCATACTCCTCCGAAACTTGACCGATTCTTATGAAATTTTGTGAGCGTATTGATTAGGTCTGAGAATCGGCCAACATCTATTTTTCATCCCCTAAATGTTAGGGGTAGTCCACCCCTATTTTTTTTTTATTTTACGGCAAAACAACGTTTGACGGGACAGCTAGTATTCTCTATATTATTATTTGAACAGGAATCATAATAACTATGTATATGTATGTATGAACCTTAAGAAACATCAAATTTGTATCTAGTGAGTCATTTACTGATAAAATACTGATAAATATCTATATATACTGTATTAAAAGCGTACTCATTTTATTGCTAAGACAGTAAACAATGAAATTCTATTCCAAAATGGGTTATACATCGATTTGTGTTACAATTTTCGTAGTGTTATACATAAGTGCAACCTCAGGCACCGATCTAAATTTGGGAACGACTGTAAATGGTCAGTTAGCTTACGTAGAGAACGTGAAGTTATCATCTTTCCCTCTGAAGGTTAGAACCAAGAATGTATTCTACAATGACGAGCAAAATCCTAAAGTTATAAAGGTAAATATTGATTTATACAATTTAGAATGGATGTGTGGTGTGACGAGGATAGACAAGATAAAGAATGAATACATCAGAGGAAGTATGAAAGTGGCACCGATGTCAGAGAGGTTAAAGAGTAATCGTCTATCGTGGTATGGGCATGTAATGCGTAGGAATGAAGATCATATCCTAAGGACGGTGTTACATATGAATGTTGATGGTTATAAGGGTAGAGGAAGTCCGAAAAAGAGATGGATGGACTGTGTGAAAGATGATATGGTGAGAAAGGGAGTAAATAACGGAATGACTGCGAACAGAGATGAATGGAAGAGAAAAACATATTACGCCGACCCCAAATAAATGGGATAAGGAAGAAGCAGATGATGATTGATTTATTCAATTTAGAATATTATTACTATTTAGTTACAGTCTCTTATCATATAAAACACTTCCTTTGCAAAAAAGGAATATTATTGCTATAAACTATTGTTTTTTGTCAATTTATATTTCTAAACTAGCTGTACACGCGACTTCGTCCGCGTGGGATTAAACTTTATTTTTCCATATTAAAAGTAGCCTAAGTTACTCTTTGTTACATCAGCTACCTGCCAATAAAAGTCCCGTCAAAATCGATCCAGCCACTTCAGCGATTAGGCGGAACAAACAGTCAGACAGACTGACAGACAAAAATTGTAAAAACTGTTATTTTGGTGTATGTACCGTACTCGTATATATATTCTTCAAAAAAACTTGCTATAAAATTGAAGAATTCGTTAACGATAATAATGTTTCTATACATAAACTTAAAATCCACAGCGCTGGCAATATTATCTGATTACATTAATAATGAGTTCTTAGTTTCTATGTTGATTATCGCATGCCTCTTACTTGTTATACTGTAATTATAATATATACAAAAAATCTATTAAAAAGAGCAACACACAAGTTTCATTCTTCTTGTGATGAATCTGCATTCCGAATGGTAGAATCAAAATATGACTATTCAAAAGTGCTTTTGATAATAATAATGAGTTTATTTGAATAAAGATTATTTCTATTTTCTATTGTGTGATTTTTGTAATAGAAATAGATATATAAATAATCTTTATTCGATTAAATTTAATATAATCTCTTTTGAATAGTCACATTTTTTAATTCTACCACTCATTCGGAACGCAGACTCATCACAAGAAGAATGAGCAAGAAACTTGTGTGTTGCTCTTTTAAATAAATGTTGTTTAAGTAGATTTAATGTTGTTTTAAGTAGGTTTACATTAACAAGGATTAGACAGGATTAGTAAATAAACAATCCAGGAAAATTAAACATACCGTTATCTATACTAATCAAATCGTATTACTGAGGAGATAAACTTGTTTAAATATAGATAACACTTAGATCAATTGAAACATATTATCTATCTATCTATATACACTTAAGTTAGTATGTTAAACTACTAATATATACATATAAATAAAATTGGAGTGTCTGTTTGTAATATTGAAATAACCATTTTTACTACATGCATATGAATATAAATACGGTACATACACCAAAATAATATATCTTACATTTTTTGTCTGTCTCTGTCTGTCGGTCTGTCTATTTGTTCCGGCTAATCTCTGAAATGGCTGGACCGATTTTAACGGAACTTTTTTAGGCAGGTAGCTGATGTAATAAGGAGTAAGTTAGGCTACTTTTATTTTAGACAAATAAAATTAATTTTGTTGATAATATTGGCTGGAAACGTTATAGACATTTTATTTTATATTTTGACATTGATTTAAAATTTTACTTACTTCTTTGCTTTCCATCTTTCTAACAACATAAATGCAATAATGAGCACCGTCCAAGATCTCGCAGATATAGGGAAAGTCATAGAAGATGTTTCCGTTGCGGCGATTCTGTTAGGCGGTCTTACATTAAAATATGAACCCCTTATCATGGGACTAGAGAATAGCAACATTGAAATTACCTCTGATTTGGTCAAAACTAAACTTTTAAATGAGTTATCTCGCGATACGGTAACGATATCACGTCTGTTTTGATTGCTCTGCTATATTTAATTCGAATCTTAATCATATTGCAATTTTAAGATAATTTTAAACTGTAATATTATTCCAATACTAATAACTAATTGAAATTGTGAACTTTAAACTGTGTGATGCACGGATAAATATCATTTTGGACGAAAGTGTTATTAAAAGTGAACGTTATAAATAAATTGAATCAGCTTTGTGAGTGACAGTGAACTGTGCGTTGAACTAATAAGTTATTGACCTTTCAATAGTTCATTAGCCGCTATAGGATTGCAAGTGCAAGAGATTACATATTTCGACAAACCTAAACATCAGTTATTGGCATAGTGGTCTGACTGATACTTTCAGTGCATTTGGTGGCCCTGGTTCAAATCCCACCGAAGCCAAATTTCTTTTTTCTTTAATTTCTTCATCTTGTCATAATAAAATGTCTTCTAACAGTATTATATGTAATGGATGCCAAACTACTATTCGAGATAGAAGATATTTGTTGTGCGGTGGTTGTAATGGGTATTATGATTTAATTTGCGCTAACGTTTCTGAGCAGCGCTTTTATAATACCCTCACAAAGGAGCACAGGGACGCTTGGAGATGTGTGGAATGTATTAGCAAGAAGCCCAAAAGAGATAACACCAATACACCCGTTCGTGTTGCTGTAGATAATATCACAATGCAGCGTGGAGCAGCAGTAAAAAGTCCTATGGAGCTCGATATGTCTATAGTGGAGCAGCCTCTGTCACTCACATCGAATCTTAATGACACTGCCAATAATGTGACAGTGGAAATGACAGATTACCAGTCACTTGTTATTGAAATGCGATCGTTTAAAGAGGAACTGAGGGAGGATATGAGAGTCAACCGCGAACAACTTAAAGTTATGACAGATACCTTGTCTGCGCTCATAGGCAGGGTAGCTGAATGTGAAAACCGCATTGATAAACTCAATGACCGTTTGGTTCTATTAGAGTGCAACACAAACACAGATAATGAACCTGGCAACAAATCCCTAGCAGAGTCCATTAAGCAGTTAAAGGCCGAAATAAATGAAAGGGACCAAGACCTTTTACTGAATGACTTGGATATATCTTGTGTTCCGGAGACCGGTGGCGAAAGCCTGCCACATATATTAAAAACTTTGGCTAGTAAGCTAGGAGTTACTATAAGCGATCAAGATGTCATCAGTACGGAGCGCGTGGGCCGCGTGTTGGAGTTTCAGCAGTCAGACACGTCGAAACCGACCCAAGAGACCTCTACTCGCCCTCGTACCATTGTGGTGCGGTTGGCACGGCGTGCAGTACGGGATGAGCTGTTGAGAGCTGCTCGAGTGCGCCGTGGTGCAACTACTGAGGGGTTGCACCTCCCAGGGGTTCCGAGACGGTTTTACATAAACGAGAGATTGACTAGAGTTAACAGGATGTTGTTTCGACGAGCGCGTGAATTAGCGGAGCGGCTTAACTGGCGCTACGTGTGGACGAGAGGTGGTCGAATATTTGCACGTCAATTCCATGGCCATGACTGTCCGCGATTCCGCCTAAAAACGGAGGAGGATCTCGAACGCATTTTTGGTCCAGATCCATTTCGTTCTTCAGCCATTAACTAAGTTAAAGAGTGGATATGTTTCCAGTGACGTATCTGGCGATGACTATTTTACTTGTTATTTTCATATTTTACACTTTGTTTTTATCATTTTTTTAATAAGTAAGAGTATAATCAGCATGAAGTACAATTATAGTTATTTGTCAACTTGTGTAACACCAGTTAGAAAAACTTTTTTCCTATATATATATTTTAAATTATCTAAACTCTTCAATAGGGAATCTTATAATAATTTTGTACGTACAATGGAAAGTGTATATAAGCAGTTAGAGTGCTATATTTGCAAAATGGAAACTTTAATGGAACATATATATAGCTATTATTCTTTATTCTTTGTTTTTGATTCATTTTTATTTAATATGTCTACAAATAAGCATATTGGTTCATTGAAGTCTCGTTGTGGTATATTTAATTGTTGGACTACTTATGTTTTTGTTATGTTTGTTGTATCTAAGAGTGTTATGCAGAAACGTAAGTGTGTGTGTGCACAGCAATGTTGCAAAGTTTATGGGATCCTAATGTACGAATTCATGTTCTCTTTCAATTATTTGGCTGTTCTTTTTCCGTTTATTTTGTATATAATATTCACATGTATTCTAAGCTCAATTATTATTATTTCTCAAATCTAATACACTATCGTAATATACGTATTTTATTAACCAGTAAAATTCAATCATAAAACTAAATTTCTTAAGTTAGCACTATATAATGCTGGTTCTCTGAATACTGGACATGACGACTTTCTCATAGCAATGGATCGTTTTAAAGCTGATATTGTTGCGATAAATGAGACATGGCTACCAGTAGGTCAAGAGGCTCGAGCGCCAGTGGTTCCCGGCTATTGCCTACGTAACGCACCACGCCCTCAAAACATACGTGGTGGTAGGGGAGGCGGTGTTGCATTCTATGTACGAAAAGACTTAAGGGTCCGATTTGAAAAGCATGCTGACGTCGGCATTGAGCAATTATGGCTATCGACGAGATCGAACGGGTATAGTCTAATTGTGGGAACAGCATATAGGCCACCATGGATGAATATTGATATGTTCATAGATGCATTGACAGACACAGTTACACACTTTTCTAAATATGACTACGTTGTCCTACTTGGTGATTTTAATGTGGATATGCTTAATAGATCTCATAGTAGCACTTTGAAAATAGAAGACTTTTTGCAATGTTTATACCTACAACAGGTGGTGACTGAACCTACTCATCTCTCGGTTAATTCTCACACATTACTAGACCTTGTATGCACTAATTGCCGGATACATGATGTAAATGTCTCAAACATCACTGGATCACTCGGCCATGCCATGATAAATGTTAATGTAACATTAAAAAAACTCAAAACAACACCAAGTACTTTTGAATATAGAGCTATC